TCCTGCCCCTTTCCCACTCTCCACCTACAGACCCCCCACAGCAGCTAGGGGAGAGGGGGGGGACCTTTTGGAAATTCGGCACTCCCGAGGGGCCCCGGGACAGAGGGGGCCCCATGAAATGCCCCGGTACCTTTTCCATAGGCTTTTTTGAGTTGGGCAAGGACACGGGGGCCCCAGATCCCCTTTTTGCGGGGGCCCCGAGTTGTCAGCTCCCCCTGGGGAGGGGGGAACCGGGAAGAGATAGAGGGGGACGGGGGGGGGGGGGCGAAGAGTGCACTTTGGGCTCGAAAAACCGGGGGGGCAACGAAAAAGCGGGATAGGAGCAGGGGCAAGCCCCTACATATAGGGAACCGTCTCCCCAGGGCCTCCTTCACGGCTTGAATTGGTTTTCTCCTCCTCCCTTTCCCAGGGGCTTTTTAGCTGCTGCGGGAAAACTGGAGGGGTCATTCCCCAAATGCGGGTGCCCCCCCCATTCCCTTACCCGGCATACAGGTCAAGGCAAGATTATTCAAGGAATTGTCCAGAAACTGTCACCTTCAGGTGGCTCCAAGAAGAGAAAAATTGCCAGACACAGTAAGGTCACTTTTTTTGAGCCCGGGCCCCTACGGGTACACGGGAAAATAAGGAACCTGAACAGACCCCTGAATCTTAAAACCCCAAGTCTTCCATCCAACACGCACCTACCTCACAAATGCCTTTTTAAAATTTAATGACACATTTTTTTCAAACCCACATCTTTTTGGAAAGCCAACTCATCATGGACCATGGCTTGGGGAATGAATTCCTCAAGGTCATATAGATGTGGGGGCAGTTGTCCTTTTTGGGCTATATAGAGCATTTCCGATTTTGTTCACATCTACTACACAGTTGGATTTACTGCACAGTTTCAGGAAATGGCCCTTTCCCCTGACCACAAATAAAGAGTCTTAATGTTTTCATCAATAGCCTCCTGCTGACCAACGGGTCGGTTCCTCCAAGCTTTGGGAACCGTTTTAGCTTGCAGCTAAAAAGACAATCACGGCATACAGGTGCATCTCAATAAATTAGAAATCTCAAAAATTCTTTTTGTTTCAAAAATTCAATTTAAAAAGTGAAACTCATATGTTACATACATAGTTTCATTACCACAAGTGTAATTTAAAGCATTTCTTTCTTTTAAGTTTGATGACTAGGGCGTACAAGTGAAAACCCAAAATTCAGATTTCAGAAAATTAAGAATATTTAAAAAATTTTGAATATTGTAGACTATGGGGGGAGATTTATTAAAGCTGGTTCCTCAAATCTGGTGCAGTGTGCAGGCAGCCAATGGGCTTCTAACCTCACTTGTTAAATTAAGCTTTAGCAAAAAAACCCGAATATTGGTTTCCATGCAGAATTACCAGATTCTGATGAACCAGCTTAGTAAATAAACCCTATGGGTCACAATTCTAATCATTAATTTAACTCAAAACACCTTTAAAGGTTTCCGATTTTTAAAGGTTTTCTCATCGGTTTCCCTTAGGTTCACAATCATGAGGAGGACTCTGACCAACAGTTGTCCAGAAACAGTCATTGACACCCGAACAAAAGGGAAGTCAAAAAAGTCATTTCTAAAGAACTGGCTGTTCACCGATGCTGTATCCAAACATAATTTAGGAGGGTTGAGTGAAGGAAAAAAAAAAAAAAAAAAAAGTGTTGGGGGGTTTAGGGGAACAAGCAACACGGATAAACAGCAGCCTTGAGAGGGGTTTTGACGAAAAGCCATTAAGAATTTGGGAGTGATTTACACGGAGAGGACTTACGGCTGGTGTCAGTGCTTCAAGAGCCCACCACACACAGACGTATCCAGGAAAGGACTACAACTGTACATTCCTTGTGTCAAGCTACTCCTGAACCTGAGACAACCATCTGAAGCGTTTGACCTTGGCTAAGGAAAAAAATGACTGGACTGTTGCTCAGTGGTCTAAAGTCCTTCTTTTTCAGTATGATAGTTAATTTTGATTTTCATTTGAATTCAGGATCCCTGAGTTCTAGAGGAAGAGTGGAGAGGCACAGAATCCAATTGTGAAGGTTTCCACTGTCAGTGATTTGATTTTGGAGAGCCATTGCATCTGCTGGTATTGTGTCCAATGTCAAGCCAGCCCTCTACAGGAATTTCCAGAGCTTACCATCTGCTGACCTGCTTTATGGAGGTGCTGATTTCATTTTCCAGCAGTATGGCACCTGCCCCACACTGCCAAAAGTACCAATACCTGATTTATGATCATGGTATCAACTGTGCTTGATTGGTCAAGCAAACTCATCTGACTCTATACCCTTAAGAGAACTGCGGTGTATTGTAAAAAGGAAGATTAGAGACACACAGACCCAACAATACAGACAGCTGAAGTCCACTCTCAAAGCAACCTGGGCTTCCCTAACACACTCAGGGGGTGGGGGGGGGAGGGGGGTGGGGTGGGGAAATGCCACAGGCTGGATCGCCCTTAATGCCACACCGCATTGATGCAGTAATTCAGGCAAAAAGCGCCCTTGGACAGTATTGAGTGCATACTATACTGTACATGGACATACTTTTCAGTAAGCCAACGATCCTTTTTTATTGGTCTTATGTAATATTCTACTTTTCCGAGTTACTGGATTTTGGGTTTCACTAGCTGTAAGCCATATTCTATCGAAATTTAGAGAAAGAATTGCTTGAAATATATCACTCTGTGTGTAATGATTATATAATAATACATGAGTTTCACTTTTTGAATTGAATTACTGAAATAAATTAACTTTTTCCAATGATTGGTTCTAATTTATTGAAATGTTCCTGTATTTTAATAGACTGGTGATCTCTTTAAATAGACATACAATCGGTTTACGAGTGCCAGAAATTGCGTACTGGAGTAATGCTCAAAGACACAATTTTTATATTCCAAATACTACAACCAGGGCGCATAGAAGGAGACTATGTAAAATATTAAAACTCAAAAGGTCACTTAGAACGAATGTTTAATAAATCATTAAAGGTAATAATTCACAGTCCTTCATCTATAAACAGGTCTTTCAACGAGAAAACTTTCCCATTGCCGTTCTTCTTTCCATCAGAGACAGAATTCTTTGTTGTTTGTGCTTTCTCTTTCGTTATAAACAGGTCCTGCCGAGTACGGCCAAATGGTGTTCCAGGGAGTCTGTGTTGTGTGACATAAAAACAGCGGTGACTCGGCTCTAGGAAATTGATGGATTTCATTAAGGATCCTGCCCATCTGCTGTGTGGGCTAGGTAATATAGTATTATGCCTGGCGGTACAGCAATAAGGCAGGAACTTCATAAAACAAAAAACTAAGATCTTTTTATGCACGGCCCATGCTATTAAAGGAATAAATATAAAAAGTCTTGGCCGGGAGTCACAGACTTTTTAAGTAAGGACAGATGAAAGAAGACTGTTAGTCTAATTAAAAAACAGGACATCGCTTTAACAGAATAAGATATATCTAAAGCAATGTTACTGAGAAAGGAAAGCTCCCATTGGTTGCTGCTGGGACAGGCTTTGATTTGTGAGTTCAGAATTAAGGTAGCACTAACCCACAGAGGAATGGACTTTGTCCCCTTGGCCAGGTGATATAAGAGTTGTTAGGTTGATGGCCCTTAGTTAGAGATACTTGACCATGCGTAGGAAGCTTCAGCAGGCTAGCTATGGTGAAACTACAAATCCCATCATGCCTCTGGGAGTCATACCTATGGTTATCAGTCTTGCAAAGCCTTATGGGACTTGTAGTTCCATAACAACTGGAGTGCCAAGGTTGCCTTATATATGTAATGATCAGAGTGGGACCCACAAATCAGTATGTTGGGTATGGTACAGCGTGGTGCAGCAGCAGTAAACACACAGAGTACAGTAACCAGGGGGCGGACTGACCATTTGAAAACTCCGGCACTGCCCGAGAGCCCGGGTCAGTAGGGGGCCCCATGAGATGCCCCTGGTACCTTTTTCATAGGCTTTTTTTAGTTTGGGCAAGGACACAGGGGCCCCATGATCCCCTATTGCCCGGGGCCCCAATGAGTTATCAGGTCCGCCCCTGACAGTAATCCATTTTATTGAAGAACTTGCAGATTTTACAACAACCCGGAAGGGGGAGCTCTCCCAACCTGGATTTACAGTCAATGCAGCAGCAGAGAGTTAGCGGTAGTTGGCCTGAACTGAAGACAACCACCTGCCAAGGGGGGTGGAATGTAGCCTGGGCTGGTCCAACCCAAAAGGGGGCTTGCTAAAGTGCAGACATACACCCGGAGCTTTCCCTACTCCTCTGGAACATCTACCTACTGCTTGAGTGCTGTCCCTGACAAATGAGTATGCTCTCCCTGCACTAGATGCATTGCAAATATGCTCCAAAACCTGTAGGCAGCAACTTAAAGACTCTGTATGACCCAAGATGGCCACCAGGGTCACTTGGATGCAGTGTAGCCAATCGCAATGCTGCCCCAAGGAACCAAGGGAATCCAGATGAGCGTCACCTACATTGGAGAAACTAGACTGCACCTGCCTACAAGTCAAAGTTTCCTAGTCCTCTCTGGATCTAAAAAATGCAATTGTTAAACCTCATAAGTTATACCATGTTAATGTAATTACAAACATTAGAAAATAGAAGGCCGTGATGAGTGAGGATGAGTGTGGCTCAGCCCCAAATGCAACTGCTCAAAAAAAAATGAAAGCAACTCTCTTTAAATCAGAGTATAGCATCAAGTCAGTTTAAACTCCTGGATATTGATCTGATCTGTTAAGGTAGCAGAGAGGGTTGGTAATCAGTTTCAGCTGCTTTGGTGTTAATGAAATTAACAACAGGTGCACTAGAATGGGCAACAATAAGATGACCCCAAAACAGGAATGGTTTTAACAGGTAGAGGCCACTGACATTTTTTTCCCTGACTCATCTTTTCTGACTGTTTTTCACTAGTTTTGCATTTGGCTAGGGTCATGTCACTACTGGTAGCATGGAGGAGATTCCAGGAGACATGCAGTTACTCTAGGAGAGCTGGACAGGGCCGTTTAGATGGTCCTTAACCCATCAGCAGGACAGTATCTGCTCCCTTGTGCGAGGAGGAGAAGGATGAGTACTGCCAGAGCCCTACAAAATAACCTCCAGCAGGCCACTGGTGTGAATGTCTCTGATCAAACAATCAGAAACAGACTTCATGGAGGTGGCCTGAGGGCCCAACATCCTCTAATGGGCTCTGTGCTCACTTTCTAGCACCATAGAGCTCGATTGGCATTTGCCATAGAATACCAGAATTGGCAGGTCCACCACTGGCAACCCTGTGCTTTTCACAGATGAGAGCAGGTTCACCCTGAGCACATGTGACAGACGTGAAAGGGTCTGGAGAAGCCGTGGAGAACATTATGCTGCCTGTAACATCGTTCAGCATGACCATTTTGGTAGTGGGTCAGTGGTGGTTTGGGGAGGCATATCCATGGAGGGACGCACAGACCTCTTCAGGCTATACAATGGCACCCTGACTGCCATTAGGTATCGGGATGAAATCCTTGGACTCATTGTCAGACCCTACGCTGGTGCAGTGGGTCCTGGGTTCCTCCTGGTGCACGACAATTCCCCGGTCTCAAATGACGAGAGTATGCAGGCAGTTCCTGGAGGATGAAGGGATTGATACCATTGAGTCGGCCCCCACACTCGCCTGACCTAAATCCAATCTGGAATATCATGTTTCGGTCCATCCAATGCTGCCCAGGTTGTATCACGGACTGTCCAGAAGCTAAGTGATGCCCTGGTCCAGATCTGGGAGGAAATCCCCCAGGACACCATCCGTCGTCTCAATAGGAGCATGCCCCCGACAGTTGTCAGGCATGCATACAAGCACATGGGGTGCCACACAAACTAACTGAGTACCATTCTGAGTTGCTGCAATGACATTTCAGCAAAATGGACTAGCCTGCTGCATCATTTTTTTCACTTTGATTTTTGGGGTGTCTTCTTGGAATTCAATCCTCTGTAGGTTGATAATTTTTATTTCCATCAAACGATGGGCATCCTTACGTTCCTAACACATTTCCCCAGGTCCATATCAGTATAGATATCCAGCTTGAGATTTTTCCCCATTGAGATCTGAAGTGTTTTCAAAGTGTTCCTTTAATTTTTTTGGAGCAGTGTACAATAGTATAAAAAAATTTAAAAATATCCAAAGGACTTTACAAGGCACACTGGGTTATAGTTAAAAGGTCACATTCCCTTTTTTTATTATTATTAATTATTATTAGTTTTATAAAAAGAAAAAAAAATTAAAAAAATAAAAGAAAAAAAACAGATAAACATGAAAAAATAAAATTTGTATAAAGAGTGAAAATATAATAATGCATTATGCTTTAAATTACATAGCACAAGCTCTCAGCGCAACACCTCAACGCATTTCATGAAGCAACGTTCACTTCTTCAGAAGATCAACATAACTTGAGGGTATAGTATCTGGAAAGGTATCCGAGGAAAGACCAGGTCGTTACAAAAAAAAACAACAAACAAAAAGAAGAAAAAAAACCCCCCTCAAACTAGACTGCACCTGCCTGCAAGCACCCTGAGTCAGTTTCCTAGTCCTCTCCTGGGTCTAAAACGCAATCGTTAAAACCTCATAAGGTATACCATTGTTTTCAATCTTTTTAAACCTGCAGCATTCACCTAGTTGTGGAGATCCTTGTTCAGACACTTCCTGTTATGGAGTGACAAACTGTCTCCTAATGTGTTTCGTGTTGTCAACTTGTCACTAGTGAAACCTAAATGTTACCAAAGCTGACACATATTGTATTAGGATGGTCTGCCATTGTCACTATCAGGAGGCCAGACCTGAGCAACTATGTGCAGCTGACACTGGAGTCAATGCAAACAAGATGTGTTTGAAAGAGGCTGGAGTAGATCAGCAACACTGAGATGCAAAAAAGAATGAAAAATAAGTTAAAACAGCATTTTTGTAAAAACAGAATTCTACTTTAATTGCTTTACCAAAGTAAAACACCAGAAGGATAGAGTTAAGATCTACCTCAAAGGTGAAGTTTAATCTGATTATATCTTTCTCCTTGTCCTCCCCCCCCTCATCAACATACCAATTCATCTTCTATGTATCCCTCGATCCCCTGATGTTTTGCATTGTATTGGTATTGTTCTGTCACATGTTCTGTCCCCCCTTTGTAATGTACAGCGCTGAGCGAACTATTGGCGCTTTATAAATACTGTATAATAATAATATGTAGTACTGACCCCAAAAAGGAGCCCAATGTTTTCTTGGGTCACCTATTCCCAGAGCCCACGAATCTGTAAGCGCTTTCTCTGATAAAACCTGGATGAAGACGGGGAGATTTATCGCAATAGATATATAATATTCCAAATAACCAAAGAAATGGAAATGGTAACAACCCTTCAAATATATATGTAAAATAGCAGAAAATAGAGAACAGAGTTGAGAAACAAATATTATGAACAGTAGCAAACAGGATACATAGTTAATAATAAGCAATGGTCAAGAGGATGACCCCTAAGCCCAATACTGCTCCTGCCTAAGAGGCAATGCTAAGACAATAGTTTGGAAGCCTTCGTCAAACCCTGCTGGCCAGTATGTTGGGGCCCAAATCAGTACGTTAGAACACTCAAAACCCAGCTATAGGTGCCTTGCACTGTGTCCCAAGCAAATAAAACTGTTCCTCTTTAATGGGATGTGCTTGGGTTTGACCAGCAGCCTTTCACCAACTCTTGCGATGACAGCCTATTTCCCTCTGTTCTCCTACAGTGGCTTAGCAAAGTCAGCGGAAGTGGTTTTCTCCCCAATGATCAGGAAGCAGCATCAGTCAGTGACAGTGGTGTTCTGCAAATAGCCTGCAGCATGGCCTGTCTCCCAAAGTATCCTCACCACATCTGCCTTGAGTATACAGGAACAGTTCTTCCTTTTCCGCTCCAGAGAGCCCCAGTCATGATGCATGTGGAGTTTCCATTGCCAATCTGACTCACAGACTCAGTCTGCCTGGGAACTACATCCCCATAAGTCCAATTCTCCCAGCAGCCTCTTGTCACTTCCAGATGCACAGCAGTCCTTTTCCAATTCTTGTGTCCTCCTTTGGCCAATCACAATCCATCCAGCATACATATTGGCTCTCCTAAAATGGCCACCCTCCGGGGTTGAAGACATTCCATGGCCAAGCACTGTTCATAAGTCTTCCCCAAAATGGGAAACTGCAGCTCAGGATGGCAAGTCAATTCATATAACCCTCCTTGTGTGACAGATAAGGAGCAACGCTTCTAAAACTGGGGAAAAAATGATTGTAACCACTGCAAGCCTGACAACAATCACTTACCCTTATTTTAGTCCCAGTGACATCATTACTGGTATCTGTGCTTCTATATTTAATGCTGGCAGATTATAGCTGGTGGAAAGGGCCAGCAAGGTGCTATATCAGTTTTCTGAAATCATCACAGTACCTGGCCTCAGTACTCCACTCAAGAACTGGCAGTCCTGATGAACACAATGGTAGCACTTGAAAGGAGTATGTAAAAATCAGATTGGTGGACACGACCAGTGACAGATCGCGCTGGAAGCACTGCCTGTGGGGCATACGCAAGGTGTGATCCTGGGAGGACAATCACATAACATCCTCCCAGGATAATAGGGTTCGGCCAGGGGCGGACTGACAACTCATGGGGCCCCCGGGCAATAGGCGATCATGGGGCCCTTGTTGTCCCTTGCCCACACTCAAACCACACCCCAAAAAAGCCTATTGAAAGGTACCAGGGGCATCTCATGGGGCCCCCTGCTGACCCTGGGCCCTCGGCAGTGCCCGAGTTTCCAAATGGTCAGTCCGCCCCTGTGCTCTGCTGTCATATTACAATAGGCCGGGCGGGAAGGAGTTAAAAGACGGGAAGTGAGGGGAAATATCCCAAATGGATAGTAAAAGCCTGGCAAAGATTTTAGCCCTTCCCACTTTGTTTAGAAATATAAAAAAGAAACTTTGGGGCCAGAGCTGGATTTTAAAGTTGACCTCCAGGCACAAAAAAACTTTTAGGGCCAGTTCACACTACATACGTTTCAGTTTGCTTTTTTTCTGCATCCAATACGCACAGAAAGTAGGTTATATGGTTGTCAGTGTCATAGTTCACATCTGTACTTGCAGTTTCAGTTGCAGAAAAAAAAGGTAGAACAGGCTGCATTTTTCCTGCACAGAACTGTACTGAGCAGGGCGGACTGATCATTTGGAAGCTCGGCACTGTAGGGGCCCCATGAGATGCCCCTGGTAACTTTTTCATAGGCTTTTTTGCGTTTGGGCAATGACACAGGGGCCCCATGATTCCCCTATTGCCCGGGGCCCCATGAGTTGTCAGTCCGCCCCTGTACTGGAGCGTGGTAAAACACATCATAAACGCACTGGAACGCACCAAAAACACGCTGGAGCACACATGTCCCTATTTGAATTAAAGAAGAATGCATAAATATGCATAAAAAATGCTCTGGAGCGCACTGGAACGCATAAAAATGCACTGGAATGCACCAAAAACGAGTAAAAACGTGCATGCAAAAACGCATCTGTAACGCATCTGGACTGCATTTCTATAGTGTGAACCGGCCCTTACATGCACTCCAGTGTGTTTTTATTCTGCATCTAACACAGAAAGTAGGTTACATAGTTGTCAATGGCATGGTTCACACCAGCGCTTGCAGTTCCAGGGTGTTCCGTTTCTAGAAAAAAAGTAGAACATGCTGCATTTTTCCTGAGCAGAACTGTACTGGAACGCTGTAAAACTCACCGGAACACACTGGAATTCATCAAAAATGCATCAGAAACACATAAAAAACACACTGGACCCCAGATGACCCAAAAAAGAAGGGAAAAAAAAGCATCTGGAACGCATAAAAATTGCACTGGAATGCATCAAATACCAGCTGCTAAAGTTTTATACGCCTGCCCTTCCTCAGCAGCTCAGAGAGGCCGTATCTGATGAGGCAGAAGTATCTGAACCTGTGATCTGCAGCCAGGTGAGAGGTTCTCCACTATCAGAACCAGCATGTGGACAGCTTGGCAGGAGCCTAATGCAGCTTATCCAAAAGACCCAACTAATATGGGACGGTCATGACAGATTGTTATCAGAGTAATGCAGTTCCAGTGGGTCGCCCTCCTGTGTCCTTGGACTTGGATCCCTTCAGCTTTTCACCTGTGTTACCAGAGATAAAAAAAAATAATTAATAAACACAGCGAATTACAAAATAAAGTGCAGAAATCTTGTGCTTCAATAACAGTGTCACATGCTCTGAAAAATCCAAGGCGATGTGCCTCACTATAAGGCTAGGTTCACATCTCTGCGGGTGGTGCCGCTGAGGATCTGCACGAAAATCCGTGCAGCCGCTCCCCCCGCACAGAGGAATGCGGACCCGCGAGCGGGTGCCATTAGTTGTAATGGCATGACTCCGCCCGCACTGTAAATCGCAACCATACTAGGAACCGAGGTTCCCGTGTGGGCTGCGGTTTCCAAAGAAGTGCAGTGACTTCTTTCCCTGCGTGTCACGGGCACGGGAGTCCATTCAAATGAATGGGCTCTCGTGTCTGCGCAAAACGTGGCCCCCAGGAACGCACATACAGTTGCAAGAAAAAGTATGTGAACCCCTTGGGATTACGTGGAGTTTTGCATGAATTGGGCATAAAATGTGCTCTGAACGTAATCTAAGTCACAACAATAGAAGAACACAGTCTGCTGAACATAATACTACACAAACATTAGATGTTGCCATGGTTTAATTGCACATAACATGTAAACATTCACAGTGCAGGGAGGAAAAAGTATGTGAACCTTTGGACTTAATAACTGGTTGACCCTCCTTTGGCAGCAATAACCTCAACCAAACGTTTCCTGTAGTTGCAGATCAGACCTGCACAATGATCTGGAGTCATTTTGGACCACTCCTCTTCACAAAACTGTTTCAATGTAGCAATATTCTTGGGATGTCTGGTGTGAATCGCTCTCTTAAGGTCATGCCACAGCATTTCAATCGGGTTGAGGTCAGGACTCTGACTGGGCCACTCCAGAAGGCGTATTCTGTGCTGTTTCAGCCATTGTTTTGTTGAATTACTTGTATGCTTTGGGTCATTGTCCTGTTGCATCACCCATCCTCTGCGGAGCTTCAGTTGGCGGACAGATGGTCGTACGTTTTCCTGCAAAATGTCTTGATAAACTCTGGAATTCATTTTCCCATCAATGACAACAATCTGTCCAGGCCCTGAGGCAGCAAAGCAGCCCCAAACCATGATGCTCCCTCCGCCATGTTTTACAGTGGGGATGAGGTTTTGATGTTGGTGTGCTGTGCCTTTTTTTTCTCCACACATAGTGTTGTGTGTTCTTCCCAAACAACTCAATCTTGGTTTTCATCTGTCCACAGTATATTTTTGCCAGTAGTGCTGTGGAACATCCAGGTGCTCTTTTGCAAACTTCAAACATGCTGCAATATTCTTTTTGGACAGCAATGGCTTCCTCCGTGGTGTCCTCCCATGTACTCCATTCTTGTTTAATGTTTTCCTTATTGTAGATGTGTCACAAAAATGTTAGCATGTGCCAGAGATTTCTGTAGGTCTTTAGCTGACACTCTGGGATTCTTCTTTACCTCATGCAGCATTCTGCGCTGTGCTCTTGCAGTCATTTTTACAGGACGACCAAGCCTAGGGAGAGTAGCAACAGTGCTAAACTTTCTCCATTTGTAGACAGTCTGTCTTACCGTGGACACATGAACATCAAGGCTTTTGGAGATACTTTTGTAACCCTTTCCAGCTTCATGCAAGTCAACAATTCTTGATCGTAGGTCTTCTGAGAGCTCTTTTCTGCGAGGCATGGTTCACATCAGACAGTGCTTCTTGAAACCAGTAAACCCAAAACAGTGTGTGTTTTTTAAGGGCAGGACAGCTGTCAGCAACATATCCAATATCATCACACTGATTGGAGTCAAGGTTGGCTCACTCCTGGCTCCAATTAGCTCTGAGAGAAGTCATTAAGCTAGGGCCTCACATACTTTTTCCTCCCTGCACTGTGAATGTTTACATGTTATGTGCAATTAAACCATGGCAACATCTAATGTTTGTGTTGTATTATGTTCAGCAGACTGTGTTCTTCTATTGTTGTGACTTAGATGACGTTCAGAGCACATTTTATGCCCAATTCATGCAAAACTCCACGTAATCCCAAGGGGTTTTCACATACTTTTTCTTGCAACTGTATGTGAACCAGGGTCAAACAATTTCCAATCACGTTGTGCTCGGTGCTCCCTCCCATGTGCACTCCTCACCCACCAGATAAGGTGGACTCCTGGCTTAAGACCCCGGTCACATCAAAGTCGATTTTGACTGTAAGTCGCACAATTTCAAAATCGGGTGACCTGCCAATTTCAGTTGCGATTTGCAAGACATCTGACACAGATGTCTATGCAAATCGCAACAAAAGTAGTGCATGTACTACTTTAGAAATTGGTGCGGCTCTGACCAAGTCAGAACTGCACCGATGTCACCGCTCTAATAGTGGACAATAGGGTGCGAGTTGGCATACGATTTGCAAGTCGCATGCCAAATCACACCCGATGTGACCGGGGTGCAAGAGTCAAAAAGCGCTTTTCTCTGGAGGGATGTGCTCACAGATGTTTCCAGGATTCCATTATATAGAGTGCCGGATCCATAGTTGTAATAAGAAAGGTTCAGTTGTATTCCATTTTACATCAGATGTGTACCAAAGGCAAGCAAGAGGAACACTGATGGTGTTAGTTAGTCATTTAAGTTTTGATCTAATGAATGAAGTAATTTGATTGTACCTGAAAAGTTTTCCGAGTGGCATCTGTAAATGATCCCGAAACAGGAGCGGACTGACAACTCATGGGGCCCCCGGGCAATTGGGGATCATGGGGCCCCGGTGTCCTTGCCCACACTCAAAACACACCTGAAAAAGCCTATAAAAGGTACCGGGGCATTTTATGGGGCCCCCTTCTGACCCCCGGGCTCTCGAGCAGTGCCCGAGTGCTCGAATGGTCAGTCCGCCCCTGTCCCGAAAATATGTTAAGGAATATAATCAGTCTCCATCCAGATAATCGCCAATTCTCCATAATCCCTTATTAATCCACCATTTAAATTGAGTGGGTGTTAACCCCAGGGGAAACTCAGGATTGCAAAAGATAGGAGACAGTGGTGTGTGTGGGGGGAAGACAGGGGAACCCGATGACATACTCTATCCCAGACAGCTAATGAATGTGACAATGTAGGGTATACAATAGAAGGGCGTAGCCTATTAGGAAGCCATGGTAATGACCCAATGGCCGCAGGACAGCAGGAGAGGGAAACCCATTGGCCGTAGTATGTGCAAGCATGGGCGGACTGACAACTCATGGGGCCCCCAGGCAATAGGGGATCATGGGGCCCCTGTGTCCTTGCCCACACTCAAAGCACACCCAAAAAAGCCTATAAAAGGTTCCAGGGGCATTTCATGGGGCCCCCTACTGACCCCCGGGCCCTCGGGCAGTGCCCTAGTGATCAAATGGTCAGTCCGCCCCTGTGTGCAAGTTGAGCAATTTGGGCTGCTTGGCAATAAGTCCTTGGGTTTGGGAAGCAATCCCTCCTCTAAGTTTCCAGGAATACATTGTCAATGTCAATTTATATTAGAATTTAATTTTAATGAAAAACTATAATGATTTGGGAACAAAAGTATTTTATATAAAAATATTATTATTATTGTTAATAATATCATTTTTACATTTATTTATATTCTCAAGTGGCTGAAAACCTAAACAAACAGAATTCGTAGATCTCATGCACAAATGAAGGTCATAGGATTTCCAAAGCTTTCAGCCAGAGGCTGCACATAACCAAGGGTGGCCATACAGTGAAGATCACTGGACAGCGGTACTGTAGGTAAGTACTGTACATGTTATTTCTCAAAATGTTCCATTATATGGAAAGTACATTTCATTTTTATTGGGAAAGCATATAAAGTTTGG